CAAATATATGAAAAAATGTTCAACATCACTAATCGTCAGGGAAATACAAATCAAAACCACAATGATGTATATGTTAATTAGTTTGATTTAATCATTCCACAATGTATACATATATTAAAACATCACATTATACTCTGTGAGTATATATTTTTGTCAATTATAAAATACTCAATAATTTTTAAAATGAGCAATCCCTTTAAAAAAAGATTAGGTGTGGGCAAAAGATGTGAACAGACATACCGCCAAAGAAGTTATGGAATGTAATAGCATCATCTAAATGGATGTTCAGTGTTCATTAGTCAGGAGGAAAATGCAAATTAAAACCACAATGAGGGCTGGGCGCAGTGGCCCACACCGTAATCCCAGCACTTGAGGAGCCCAAGGTGGGCAGATGACTCAAGCCTCGGAGTTTGAGACCAGCCTGGGCAAAAAATACAAAATTACAAAAATACAAAAATTAGCCAGGTATGGTGGTGCACACTGGTTGTCCCAGCTACTCGGGAAGCTAAGGTGGGAGGATGGCTTGAGCCCAGGAGGTCAAAGCTGCAGACAGCTGTGATCACGCCACTCTACTCCAACCTGAGTGACAGAGTGAGACCCTGTCTCAAAAAATAAAAAATAAAAATAAATAAAAACACAATGAGATACAACGCACTTATTAGAAAGGCCAAAATTTTAAAGTCTCATCATACCAAATGTTAGCAAGGATGTGATGCAACTGGAATTCCGTACACTGCGAGTGGGAACATAAAGCTCTAACCTCTTTGGAAAACAACTGGACGCTTTCTTTAAAAAGTTACAAATATAGGCAGGGCGCGGTGGCTCAAGCCTGTAATCCCAGCACTTTGGGAGGACCGAGACGGGGGCGGATCAGAGGTCAGGAGATTGAGACCATCCTGGCTAACACGGTGAAACCCCGCTCTACTAAAAAATACAAAAAAACTAGGCTGGGCGAGGTGGCGGCGCCTGTAGTCCTAGGTACTGGGAGGCTGAGGCAGGAGAAGGGCGTGAACCCGAGGGCGAAGCTTGCAGTGAGCTGAGATCCGGGCCACTGCACTCCAGCCTCCGGCGACAGAGCAAGACCTCTGTCTCAAAAAAAAAAAAAAAAAAAAAAAAAAAAAGTTACCAAATACAGCCACCTATAACTAGGGCTTCAATTCCTTAGTATTTAGCCAAGAGAAATGAAAGTGTATATCCATATTAAGACTTTTATATAAATAGCAGCTTTATTAGTAAGAGCAAAAGTGGAAACAGCCAAATGTGTGTCCACAGATGAATAGATTGAAAACATAATGTGTTATATACTATCATAAAACAATGATACTCGGTAATTAAAAGGAATGAACTACTGATATCTACTACAGTATGGAGCAAATATCAAAAAAATGCAGAGTGAAAGAAGCCCGACCACGCCACCCTATAAAAAACAGTTCATACTGTGATTCCATTTGTGGAAATTTTAGAAAATTCAAACTGTAGTGACAGAAAATAGATCAGAGGTGGCTGGGGTGTGGGGATGGGTTGGTAGGAGGCATGATATCAAAGCTTCATAAGGAAACTTTCGGAGTGATAGGTCACTTACTATCTTTAAAAAAATATTTTTCTGGGTTTTAGAGCAGGGTCTGTCTCTTTTTCCAGACTGGGAGTGCAGAGGCTTGATCATAGCTCACTGCAGCTTCAGAACCTCCTGGCCTCAATTCTATCCTCCACTTGCAGCTCCCAAGTAGGAGTACTACAGGGCTCGTGCCACCACAATTTTGTAGAGATGGTTTCACTCTGTCTCTCAGCTTGGTCTCTAAGTCCTGGTCTCAAGTGATCCTCCCACCTTGGCCTCCCAAAGTGCTGGGATTTCAGGTGTAGCACTATGCCCAGCCTTAAATTCACTATTTTGATTGTGTGGTTTTTTGTAGATATGTATGAATTACTAATTGTATACTTTTAATGTGGTAATTTATTGTAAGTTAATTATACTTATAAAATATTTTAAAATTATTATTTTTTTTAAGACTAGGGAGAAACATTACAAAGTGGAGCAGGAAAAGTTCTTACTTTCTGAGACTGTCTCAGATTTTAAGTTACAAAGATGGCGACACATATATTACCTCCTGTGCTATCTATGGACCACTCAAGTGACAGTAAAAAATGCTTTTTTTTTTCTAGAGATGATGTCTCACTCTGTCACCCAGGGCTGAAGTGCAATGGTGCAATCACATCTTACTGCAGCCTCCACATTCCAGCCTGAGTGATCCTCTCCCACCTCAGCCTTTTGAGTAGCTGGCTGGGACTATAGGCACACACCACTATGCCCAGTTAATTAAAAAATTTTTTAGAGACATGATTTACGGGTTGCCCAGGCTGGTCTCAAACTCCTGGCCTCAAGCAATCCATCCACCTCAGCCTCCCAAAGTGCTGGGATTACAGACATGAGCACCATGCCCAGCCAAAAATGCTTTAAAGAGATAAGCATGTTTGTTAAGAGAATAATCTTGGCCAGGTGCAGTGGTTCACGCCTGTAATCCCAGCACTTTGGGAGGGCCAAGGCAGCTGAATCACTTGAGGCCAGGGCTTGAGACTAGCCTGGGCAACATGTGAACGCAGTCTCTACTAAAAACACAAAAAGTAGCTGGGCACGATGGCGCACACGGTATCCCAGCTATTTGGAGGCTGAGGCAGGAGAATCACTTGAACCCTGGAGGCAGAGGTTGCAGTCAGCTGTGATCGCACCACTGCACTCCAGCCTCAGCAACAGATAAAACTCTGTCTCAATTTAAAAAAAAAACAAGAGTAGATCTTAATGTTTTCATCACAAAAAAAAGAAAAGATAAAATAAGTATACGAGCTGACGGATAGGTTAGTTAGCTTGATGGGGTTTTCATTTCACAATGTGTGTATGTATATGTATATTACTTATAGTGTATATATACTTAAATACATAAAGAGAAGCCCATATATATGTATATATATTAATATACACTATACATACAACACATTATATATAAATACACATATATTTCGATATATATATCAAAATTACATGATGTACACTGGAACATATGATGTACCACTGCAATTTTTATTGCCAATTATACCTAATACCCCAAAGAACAAAGATATAAACATATAAAGACAAAGAGGAGACCGGCATGGTGCTAACACCTGTAATCCCAGCACTTTGAGAGGTCAAGGTGGGCGGATCACGAGTCAGGAGATGAGACCAGGATGAAACCCATCTCTACTAAAATAAAAAAAACGAGGCCGATAAGGTCAGAATCGAGACACAGTGAAACCCGTTCTACTAAAATACAAAAAATTAGCGGGCGGTGGCAGGCGCCTGTAGTCCTAGCTCTAGGAGGCTGAGCAGGAGAATGGTGAACCCAGGAGCGGAGCTTGCAGTGAGCCGAGATCGCGCCACTGCACTCAGCCTGGCAACAGCGTGGACTCCGTCTCAAAAAAACAAAACAAAACAAAACAAAACAAAAAAAATTAGCTGAGTGCAGTGGCAGACACCTGTAGTCCCAGCTACTCGAGAGGCTGAGGCAGGAGAATGGTGTGAACCCGGGAGGTGGAGCTTGCAGTGAGCTGAGGTCTCACCACTGCACTATGGCCTGGGCAACAGAGCGAGACTCTGTCTAAAAAAAAAAAAAAAAAAAGTCCAAAAATGATAAATAAATAAAAGACAAAGAGGATGGAGAAGGAGAAAGTAAAACTTTGAGAGCTTTAAAGCAGATAAAGCTGGGTGCAGTGGCTCACACTATCAACCAACAACTTGGGAGGCCAAGGCAGGAGGATCACTTGAGTCCAAGAGTTTGAAGTCAGTGTGTGCAACATAGCAAGATCCTGTCTCTTAAAAAAAAAAAAATTAAAAAGAAGAAGCGGATGATGAAAGCTGAATTATAGCTGTGGGTTGAGAAAGCTGAGAAGCAGCCTGCTTTCATTGCAGGACCCCGCAATAGTGTAACTTGCCGAGACCAGCTCACAGGACACAGGCAGCAGGCAAGAGAGAGATCGTCTCTGGGGAATAGGACCAACCTGTGAGAAAAGACCTAAAGATACACCTACAGAGATGGGCTACGGGCCACACCATAGAGCTTAGGACAGACACTCCGCACTTCATTCTTATATGTGAACAGACTGTTGAAGATTGTCAGTCATTTGGGGAAGATATCTACATCATGGGCAAACAGAAAGTGAAGAGGAGAGAAGGAATCAAAAGAAATAATTCAAAGAAAATGCCAAACAGAGGGATATGAATTTCTAGATTGAAAGGCCCACTGTGTACCCAGCACAATGGATGAAAATAGACTCTCAAGAAGCACATAATTTTGAAAATTTTAGTGCTGTGGTTTCGAAGAAAAGATTCTATAAGCATCCATAAAGCAAAAAAGAATAGGCCGGGCGCGGTGGCTCACGCCTGTAATCCCAGCGCTTTGGAGACCAAGGCGGGCAGATCACGAGGTCAAGAGATAGAGACCATCCTGGCCAACATGGTGAAACCCTGTCTTTACTAAAAAAAAATACAAAACATTGGCTGGGCGTGGTGACGGGCGCCTGTGGTCCCAGCTACTCGGGAAGCTGAGGCAGGAGAATGGTGTGAATCCGGGAGGCGAAGCTTGCAGTGAGCTGAGATCGCGCCACTGCACTCCAGCCTGGGTGACAAAGCAAGACTCGATCTCAAAAAAAGAAAAAAAGAGTATCAGGCTGGGCGCGGTGGCTCAGGCCTGTAATCCTCTCAAAAAAAATATCCATCTCAAAAAAAAAAAAAAAGAAATCTACATATAACAAAAGGTGCACACGCACACACACACACACGCACACAAATCATGTATACAAATAATCATTTCCTCAGTCAAACTAGCCTCATTTCAAAAGCTTAAGAGCCACAGGTAGTTAGTGAGTGGCTACCGTATTAGACAGCACAGGCATAGAACATGTCCATCCCTGCAGACTGCTTTATTGGACAGCTCTGCTCTAAGTACCTCTGCTCCTGATTTAAAGCAGACTAAACTTGCATAAAATCGAATTTCCTACATACTTTCCTAGTGGCCAGTTTCCCCTGATTACACTTTGTTTTGTTGTTTGGTTGCAAGATAAATACATGTTTTGTTTTTAAGGTGTGCATGTATCAACATTATCATTTTTATTTTGTTTTACAGTTGTTTTTTCTGCAATGATATTTGGGACTATTACAAATCAAGATCTGCCTGTGATCAAGTGTGTTTTAATCAATCATAAGAACAATGATTCATCAGTGGGGAAGTCATCATCATATCCCATGGTAAAGTAACGTTAAAATTATACCTTTAGCTGTTTTCTCTAGAGACCATAATCTGTAAGTTATTGAAGGCTACCATGGCTAAATGGGCTTCTCTTTATGTATTTAAGTATATTATGTTCTCACATCTGGTACCGACAGAGCATCTATACTCGTAGCTCCCTGGCACTCCATTCCTTCAAGAACCATATTCTTCATATGAGGATTTAGGAAGGACACTGATTGATAACTAGCATGAAATAACGAGTAGAGTCGTCCCTCAGTATACAGTGGGGATTGGTTCCAAGACTCTCACTAATACCAAAATCCATGGATATTCAAGTCCCTGATGTAAAATGACTTGGTATTTGCATGTAACCTATGCAGATTCTATATATTTTTGAGACAGTCTCATTTTGTTGACCATGCTGGAGTATAGTGCCATGATCACAGCTCACTGCAGCCTCACCCTCCAGGCTCAAGCAGTCCTCCCACTTCAACCTCCCAAGTAGCTGGACTAAAGGCACATGCCACCACACCTGGCTAATTTTTTTTATTTTTTGCAAAGATGGGGTCCCACTCTTTTGCCCAGGCTGATCTTGAACTCCTGGGCTCAACTGATCCTCCACCTAAGCATCCCAAAGTGCTGGGATTACAGTCCTGAGCCACTATGCCTGACCCTCCTGTATACCTTTAAAATTATCTCTAGATTACTTATAATACCTAATATGATGCAAATGCTTTATAATACCTAAACAACTATGTGAATAGTTGTTATACCCTATTGTTTAGGAAATAATGACGAGGGAACAAAGTCGGTACGTGTTCAGTACAGATGCAACCCCATTTTTTCGGAATATTTTCAATCTGTGGTTGGTTGTATCCACGGATGTGGAAACCATGGTTACAGAGGGCCGACTGTATTTCCTTCTCTCCTTAAAGAGAATCCAGGCTTTTCTCCCAAGCCTGAATCCCTCACTTCCAGATGCCCCTAGTATATAGGTAGATTTTCCATTTGCACATCAAAATCCACCTATATCATTTATTTCATTTCTATTTTCCCAAGCCTGCTCTTATTCTTGTATTAATTGATTTCTGTTTATAACCGTGCCTAGTTCCCAGGCTTGAAAGCTCAGCATCATCTTTCTTTCTATTACTTTCACATTTGGTCAGTTACCAAGTGTTGTCGATTCCCTGTAGGAGTTCTCATATAATCATCTCATATTCTCTAGTCTCACTGCCACTTCCCTAATTCAAGCTCTCGTTAACTCCCTCATAATCATAGTGATATCCTAAGTGGCGTCTTCCTGCTACAGTTCATTTCAGAGATAGCTGCTGGGCTAGCCTCCCTGAAGCAGGCACATCCTTCACTGCCTGGCTCTGAACCCTCCATGATTTCCCATTACTTAGAATGATACCAAGGTTGCTCAGTAATCTGGCACCGGCTCCTTCAAGTTCCGACTTTGTTTTTCATTACTCCTCTCTTTTACGCTATTCATCTTGTTTTTCATTACTCCTCTCTCTTGTGCTATTCCCACCCTTCTATTTTAAAAACATATATTTAGTAAATTTACTCAAGGGAAGCTTAAGTGATGGAGAACTGAAAATAGTAGAAATCAGCCAGGTACAGTGGCTCACACCAGTAATCCCAGCACTTTGGGAGGCCAAGGTGGGTGGATTGCTTGAGCTCAGGAGTTTGAGACTACCCTGAGGAACATGGTGAAACCCGTTTCTGTCAAAAATACAACAACAACAAAATTAACCAGCCATGGTGGCGCGTGCCTGTGGTCCCAGCTACTTGTGAGGCTGAGGCCGGAGGATCATCTGAGCCAGGGAGGCGGAGGTTGCAGTGAGCCAAGATTGTGCCACTGCACTCCAGCCTGGGCAACAGAGTGACACTTCCATCTCAAAAAAAAAAAAAAAAAAAAAAGGAAAAGAAAAAAAAGTAGAAATCTATAAACAACAAAAAGTGCCCATAAATTGGTAAGCTCTGCAGACATTTCCAGTTGAGGGTTCATACAAATGTATAGTCACCCTTTTTTCTTTTATATAGGTATAACACAGAAATACATGACATAATGGCCTGACTCTCCCCGCTCCGTAAATCAGATACATTAGAGATATTCTGAAGTTTTAAAAACAGTGTGAAGCAAGTTTCAGTAACAACATTGTACATGAATATAAAGAAATACATGATTTTTTCATGCCAGAAGCGTGGTTGGTTTTAATTTTTCAATAGGTGTTGGCATCATAACACGTTAGCTGGTTAATAATTAAGGCATTTTGCATACACAATATTTCAATGTGGACAAAATAATTTTAATATTTGCTATGATGTTTTAAACTTTTAGTGTCTTTTTGATATAAGAAAATAGCTGCACACATTTAAGTGTTTTTGTATAAAAACACAACCTTAAATTAATGATGATTGGTTAATAATAATAAATCATATATATATATATATATATTTTTTTTTTTTTTTTTTTGAAATGGAGTCTTACTCTGTCACCCAGGCTGGAATGCCATGGTACGATCTCAGCTCACTGCAGCCTCTGCCTCCTGGGTTCAAGTGATTCTCCTGCCTCAGCCTCTCGAGTAGCTGGGATTACAGGCACCTGCCACCACACCCAGCTAATTTTTTGTATTTTTAGTAGAGACGGGGTTTCACCATGTTGGCCAGGCTGGTCTTGAACTCTTGACCTCAAGTGATCTGCCTGCTTTGGCCTCCCAAAGTGTTGGGATTACAGGTGTGAGCCACTGCTACTGGCTGATATATATCAGATATATATATATACACATATATATATCATAGATACATATATCATAGATATATTTAGATATACTATATATTCTTATGCAATATTCAGGATTGTATTAAGACCTAGTAGTTCTTTTATTATTATTATTATTATTATTATTATTATTTCTTTTTTAAAGACAGCATCACGGCCAAGCATAGTGGCTCATGCCTATAATCCCAGCACTTTGGGAGGCTGAAGTGGGTGGATCACCTGAAGTCAGGAGTTCGAGACCAGCCTGGCCAACATAATGAAATCCCATTTCTACTAAAAATATAAAAATTAGCCGGGTGTTGTGGCACATGTCTGTAATCCTGTAATCCCAGCTACTCAGGAGGCTGAGGCAGGAGAATCGCTTGAACTTGGGAGGTAGAGGTTGCAGTAAGCAGAGATCTGCATTCCAGCCTGGGCAACAGAGAGAGACTCTGTCTCTAAATAAATAAATAAATAAATAAATAAAGGATCTCACTATGTTGCCCAGGTTGGTCTCAAACTAAGACCCAGAAGTTCTTAAACCACATTAAACAAATAACCTTACAAATCCTAATTGCTGCAAAGATGAATAGTCTTTATGGTGTACTTTCATCTCATTGAACTTGCTTCTTTTAGATACTTCCCCACTTCAATGTGAAGTAGATTGTAAGATTTTCAGTGGCTTAAAAAAAAAGTTTTCATTTCTTCCATAGTTCACACTTCTCAGATGAGGCATTTTTCTGAAAATCCTCCAGTCCAGGGATGTTTTGAATAACCACCAAGCACTCTTTAGTAGATAAAACTTGTCAATGCCTCTGTGATGGCGTTGATCACAGTGTGATCTACATCTTTAGCTCTATTACCAGAGTATACCCTGGAACCAGAGTAAGATGGTTACACATTTCCCACAATCTACTTAATTGTTTACAATACAATTTTTTTTGGTCTTTGTATTCGTCATGAAACTAAAAGAAAAAGAAAAAAAGAATGTTTCTATCATTTACAGTCTCTATTTGGGATGATAGTTCTGATCACCCCTTTTTATGACTGCTTGAAGCCAGCTTAGACCAACTGTTAGTCCATTTTTGTGTTGCTATGGAGAAAGACCTGAGATTGGGTGATTTGTAAAGAAAAGAGGTTTAACTGGCTCATGGTTCCACAGGCTGTACAAGCATGGCAGCAGCATCTGCTCAGCTTCTGATTAGGCCTCAAGAAGCTTCCTTTCGTGGTAGAAGACAAAGGGAGAGCAGGCATATCACATGGCGGGAGTAGGAGCGAGAGAGAGGGGAGGCCCCAGACACTTTTAAACAACCAGATCTTGCATGAACTGAGAACTCACTGATCACCAAGCCATTCATGAGGTATCCACCCTGATGATCCAATACTTCCTACCAGGTTCCATCTCCGACACTGGGAATCACATTTCTTGTTTTGTTTTTTGTTTTTTTTTTTGTGACAGAGTCTCACACTGTCACCAAGGCTGGAGTGCAGTGGCGCGGTCTCGGCTCACTACAACCTCCGCCTTCCAGGTTCAAGTGATTCTCCTGATTCAGCCTCCCAAGTAGCTGGGACTACAGGCGTGTGCCAACCCACCTAATTTTTGTGTGTGTGTGTGTGTGTGTGTGTGTGTGTATATTTATATAGATGTAAATATATATGTATATATTATATATTTATATAATATATATTTATATATTTACATCTATAAAAATATATATATTTACATCTATATAAATATATATATATATATATATTTTTGGTAGAGACGGGGTTTTGCCATGTTAGCCAGACAGGTCTCGAACTCCTGACCTCAGGTGATCTGCCCACCTCGGCCTCCCAAAGTGCTGGGATTACAGGCATGAGCCGCTGCACCCGGCTGGGAATCGCATTTCAACATGAGCTTTGGAGGGGACACACATCCAAACCATATCACCAACTATTCCATATTCTTGAAATTTGCTTTTAAGAAATGACTGTACTAAGGCACCAAGTATTCACAGCAGCTGAGCGAGATGTACTGTTGTTTTTTTCCTGTCAGTGATTAGAGAGCATAGGCAGGCAAGCCACCCTAACTCTAAAATTATCTCTCCTTACCAAATCGGTTCCTTTATACCTCCCTTCCTCCAGGAAGGCAAAGCTGCATTTAATGTCACATTCCTCCTGAACAAATCTTGTGCCATTGCGGCACAGTCTAAACAAAACAAAACATCATAAAAACAAAAACAATAAACACCAAAAGTCTCCACTATGGTTTAACGATGGGTTTTCTGTTTGTGAAGAACTGAAGTCACTGGAGTTGACCAAATGTGTTTGACAATCATGACCTCATATTTCAGGCAGGTGGCCTGCACAAGCCAGCTCATTTTCTTTATTTGCCGCGTCCCACCCTGTACTTCTAGAGAATGAGTTGTTGATTTGTTCGTTTGTTGGTTGGTTTTCTGCAACGAGGATTTGGGAAGAATGGTGGACTTTGTGCGATAGATCATTTTACGTGCTTTCTCTGGACTTTTCACAGCTTGTGCAGCTGTTTTATTTATGTACTCAGACAACAACTGTGTTAACGATTTCATGTTCTCATTAATTAGCTATACTTGTTATAAGAAGATCAACAGACTGAACTTCACTGTTATTACCAAAGTTGTGTTTGTTTGTTTTTTTTAACATTGTGAGTTTTAGATATCACAGTCTCTTAAATTCCAGTGCCTTCATGGCACCATGGGACACAACTCTGCCAGGTGGTGAAGAACCTGGCCTGGCCTTCAAGAACATCCCTTAGCTCCTGGCCAGCCTGGCTCAAGCTATTTCTGGACTGCCAGCGGTGGAGCCCACCACCTCTGTACTGTGCATTTATCATGCTGTTCTCTTTCCTCTGAAGCCCGCAGATTTGTCTATCAGGATTGCACCCAGCTTTAATTTTTAAAAACTTTTTATGGGGGCTGGGTGCAGTGGCTCACGCCTGTAATCCCAGCACTTTGGGAGGCCTAGGCAGGCAGATCACCTGAGGTCAGGAGTTCGAGACCAGCCTGCCCAACAGGGAGAAACTCCATCTCTACTAAAAATATAAAATAAGCTGGGTGTGGTGGCACATGCCTGTAATCCCAGCTACTCAAGAGGCTGAGGCAGGAGAATTGCTTGAACCCAGGAGGCGGAGGTTGCAGTGAGCCAAGATCATGCCATTGCACTCCAGTCTGGGCAACAAGAGCAAGATTATGGATTTCTGGCAAGAATTTCCGAGGAGTGTGTCCTTCCCAGTGCATCATATTCAGAGTGACAGGAAGTCATTTGGTGTCATTATGAGATGTGAACCTTGATCATTAGATTTAGATGGTGCATGCCAGGTGTCCCCACTGCAAAGTTACTATTTTCTTCACTTGTAATTAATAAGTGTCTTGGAGGGGATGCAAATATCCTGTTCCTTCTTTAATTTTTACCTACTGATTTTAGCACCCATTGGTGGATCTTGCCTACGACTATTATAGTGGTATTTGCCTAATGGTGCTTCTCTTTTTCCTACATTCCCTCTATGTTAATTGGAATGTTTTGTGAGGAAGCACTGTCCCTTTGCCCTCATTTTATTTATTCGTTCAATTTTTTAATTTATATCAATATAGACCCATGAATATTTATTTTATTCTCTGGGTTGTAACCCAATACAATCATTATTTATTTTGTTGCTCAAATTGTTCCAGTTTTGGCCGTTGGGAGCGACTTCAGTTTTGCTCCTATGTCCTTTCAACATCTCCTCATCTTTTTCCAAGCCCTTCCTTAATTTTTGACACACTACCAGATAGTTCAGGTTCATCTTGTATTTTTCTTGCCTTAGCCCTGGAATTAAGCACATCTCCAAAGAGCACTGGCTTCTTTGGGGGATAGTATTTAGAAACCAAGATCTGAGAGCTGGGTGTGCCCATTGTTGCTGGGATTTCATTGCTTCTAGGCCCTCTCAGCAGGCAGAGCCTGGAAATACAATATACAGATAATCTAATTTTAGAATTACTAACCTGTACCCTGGTGAGAAATAGATTTACTAACTAAAGGACAGTAGTGCTTTTTGTCTTTAGCCTTATGGGATCCAAAGTATTATTTTCTGAAGTTACTTAGGTTAGTTCCTTTCTTTCCCATCCCCTTCACTATGGTTTTATTATTTATTTGTGATACAATTGAATTAATTTGTTTTTTTTCCATTTGGTTTTAATTCCATTTTGATATTTCTTCCAGTCCCCTCATTTCACATATTCTAGTTGGTTTATTTATTTTATTTTATTTAGTATATATTCTTTTATTAGAGACAGGGTTACACCATGTTGCCCAGGCTGGTCTCGAATTCCTGGACTCAAGCAATCTGCCTGCCTCAGCCTCCCGAAGTGCTGGGATTACAGGTGTGAACCACCATGCCTGGTTTATTATTATTATTATTATTTTGAGACAAGATGTTGCTCTGTCGCCCAGGCTGGAGTGCGGTGACACAAACATAGCTCACTTCAGCCTCAACCTCCTGGGCTCAGGCAATCCTCCTGCCTCAGCCTCCTGGGTAGCAAGGACCACAGGCATGTGCCACCATGCCTGGCTAATTTTTTTTTTTTTTTTTTTTTTGTAGAAATGGTGTCTCACTTTGTTGCCCATGCTGAGCTTGAACTCCTGGGCTCAAGTGATCCTCTTGCCTTGGCCTCACAAAGTCTTGGGATTACAGGCATGAGCCACTGTGCCTGACCTTCCTGGTTGGTTTAATTACTTGTTTTTTGAGACATGACATGACTCTTGTCCTATAAGTCAAAACTATGTGAAACAGTATACTCAGAGAAGGATCACTCTCTCCTCATTCCTACTGACAAGTTTCTACCCTCTTTCCACATCCCCTGTAATTAACCAGTCCCTTTGGATGTTTTGCTATTGTTCCTGTATTTATTGTGCACAAGTGACCAGATACATATATATTTCCTTATATTCTCCTCTTTCTTACATAGGGTAGCATACTTGAAGGTAGATACTTTTTGCACCTAACTTTCTTCACTTAACAGTACATCCAGGAAATCATTGCAAATCAGTTCTTAGAGGCTGTCTTCATTCTTTTTTTTTTTTTTTTTTTTGTTGAGACGGAGTCTCGCTCTGTCACCCGGGCTGGAGTGCAGTGGCCGGATCTCAGCTCACTGCAAGCTCCGCCTCCCGGGTTTACGCCATTCTCCTGCCTCAGCCTCCCGTGTAGCTGGGACTACAGGCGCCTGCCACCTCGCCCGGCTAAGTTTTTGTATTTTTAGTAGAGACGGGGTTTCACCGTGTTAGCCAGGATGGTCTCGATCTCCTGACCTAGTGATCCGCCCGTCTCGGCCTCCCAAAGTGCTAGGATTACAGGCTTGAGCCACCGCGCCCGGCCGTCTTCATTCTTTTTTATAGCTACGTAGTACTCCATGGTGTGGATGTCCCATAATTTGTTCAACCACTCTCCTGTGTACGAGCATTTAGGTTGTTTTCAGTATTTTGCAATTACAAATTGTGCTGCAATTAACTGCTAGACGTATGCTTATTCCCAGAAGTGAGATTGCTCACTCAAATGGTGAGTAAATAGCAAGTTTTATTAGGTATTGCCAGATTCTCCAGAAGGATTGTGCGGGGTATGTTCCCCCAGCAATACAGGAGAACAACTGTTTCCTCATAGCTTCACCAACAAAATGTGTTGTCATATTTTTATGTTTTTTAATTTTTTGCCAGTCTGATAGATGAGACGTGATATCTGTCTTGTTTTTTTTTTTAAGTTGAACTGTTTATTCCCTTTTAAGTACACATCTGAGAGCATACAATGTATTTAATCTCTACCTTCATTTTACCACTGAAGAGCAGACCCAACCTTTGTTCATATAGACAATTTGATCTTACATAAGCTTATCAAAATTAACACTGCATTTCTCACCAGGAAACAATTTGCTGGGCACATATTCACGGGTAGGTAGGCAGACAAAGACAGTTTCAAGAGCAGCCCCTAAGGCGAACCCCAGCATATCTATACCGTAGTAAGATACCACTATCAATCTATGTAAGCTTACTTACAACAATGCCTATGTGAAAAGAATGTAGTTATCTGTGCTTGGTGGAGTTGTGTGCTCTCCGAAAGTTAAGCAGGCGGGAAGCCAAAAATATAAACTGGGACTGACAACACAAGAAAGATTCTTTCACTGAGGGGGTTCCGTAGCCCTGAAAAGATACTTTGGAGTCAAGCAGCCGGGACTCCCTTGGAGCCAGTGTACTTGGTGGCCGCCTTGGTGCCCTCAGACAAGGCGTGCTTGGGCCAGCTCGCCCGGCAGCAGCAGGCGCAGGGCCGTCTGGATCTCACGGGACGTGACGGTGGAGCGCTTGTTGTAGTGCGCCAGGCGGAACGCCTCTCCCGCGATGCGCTCAAAGATGTCATTGGCGAAGGAGTTCATGAGGCCCATGGCCTTGGACGAGATGCCGGTGTCGGGGTGGACCTGCTTCAGCACCTTGTACATGTAGATGGAGTAGCTCTCCTTGCGGCTGCGCTTGCGCTTCTTGCCATCTTTCTTCTGGGCTTTGCTGATGGCTTTCTCGGAGCCCTTCTTGGGAGCCGGCGCAGACTTTGCAGGTTCAGGCATGGCCAGACCCAAGACTGACCCTTTCCCCCGAGAACGCAAGCAGAACTGTAGTCTCGGGGTCCACCGGAAACGACTGTGCACTTACAGAGGCCGTGCGCATGACGCTGCGTTGTGGTTCGCGAGTTTTTTCCCTCCGTCTTGTTTTAACTTACGGATTTCTTTTTTTTTTTTTTTTTTTTGAGACGGAGTCTCGCTCTGTCGCCCAGGCTGGAGTGCAGTGGCCGGATCTCAGCTCACTGCAAGCTCCGCCTCCCGGGTTCGGGCCATTCTCCTGTCTCAGCCTCCTGAGTAGCTGGGACTACAGGCGCCCGCCACCTCGCCCGGCTAGTTTTTTGTATTTTTTAGTAGAGACGGGGTTTCACCGTGTTATCCAGGATGGTCTCGATCTCCTGACCTAGTGATCTGCCCGTCTCGGCCTCCCAAAGTGCTGGGATTACAGGCTTGAGCCACCGCACCCGGCCAACGGATTTCTAATTACAAGTAAGTTTAACATTTTCTCGTATGTTTGAGGGCCATTTTTTTTTTTTTTTTTTTTTTTTTGAGATGGAGTCTCGCTCTGTCGCCCAGGCTGGAGTACAGTGGTGCCACCTTGGCTCACTGCAGCCTCTGCCTCCTGGGTTTAAGCAATTCTCTGCCTCAGCCTCCCAGGTAGCTGGGATTACAGGCGCCTTCCATCACACCTGGCTAATTTTTGTGTTTTTAGCAGGGACAGGGTTTCACCATCTTGGCCAGGCTGGTCTCGAACTCCTGACCTCGTGATCCGCCCGCGTTGTCCTCCCAAAGTGCTGGGATTACAGGCATGAGCCACCGCGCCCAGCTGAGGGCCATTCTTTATATCTTTTTTCTTCAATTGTGTATTCAATTCTTTTTCCCATTTTTCTGCTGTGTTTTAGTTCTGTGTCCCTCAATTTGCAAAGGTTCTTTTTATATTAGGGGCATTCATCCTTTACTTGTAATATATATTGGAATATTTTCTTCTAGTATGTCAGCTCGGTTTTTTTTGTTTGTTTTGGGACGGGGTCTTGCTATGTTCTCCAGGCTGAACTTGAACTCCTGGGCTGAAGTGATCCTTCCACCTCGGCCTCCTGAGTAGCTGGAACTACAGGCATGTACCACCATGCTTGACTTGTCTATTATTTTTTACTTTATCTTGTGCCCATCTTTTATGATCCAGCTCAATTACTGGACTTGGGTGAACACCTTAAACATCCTGGCTTAGAAGTCTCTTCTCCCTTCTTTGAAGTTCCAGGGCACTTAAAATTTACATTTCAAAGTAGTTGGTATCTTTTTATGGGACACATTGTATTTCTCCTGTGTTTTACTTATTTATAGTCCTAGGAGACTCAAACTCTTTAAGGACAAGATTGGTGTCTTTTCTTTCTAGTCTCATAGTACTCAGCAGACGGTCTTAAACTTATCAGATACTTACTAAGTGAACAAATAAGACCAGAAATACGGGTTTTGACCAGTAGCAGAAGAGCTACCCTGCTCTTCACCTGAAGAAATATATGTGTGCTTGTGTGTGTGCGTGTGTGTGTGTGCATGCTGTGTTCAGCCATGTAAAGGAGGTAGGAGGTGGGGGACTCCACAGCAGAAGCTGCTCCAACCCCTCCTCTCAATATATCTCAATTGTTTATTTATTTATTTATTTATTTATTTATTATTATTGAGACAGAGTGTCACTCCATCGCCCAGGCTGGAGTGCAATGGGGGATCTTGGCTCATTGACACCTCCACCTCCCAGGTTCAAGTGATTCTCCTGCCTCAGCCTCCTGAGTAGCTGGGATTACAGGCGCCTGCCATCACACCCAGCTAATTTTTTGTATTTTCAGTAGAGACAGGGGTTCACCATGTTGGCCAGGCTGGTCTCGAACTCCTGACCTCAAGCGATCCGTCCGCTTCAACCTCCCAAAGTGCTAGAATTACAGGCGTGAGCCATGGCGCCCGGCCTAATATATCTCAATTATTTAAAGCAGGCAAGAATTGTGATGGTGGCAGTGTGCCTATGGGGACATCTGCCAGAAAATTTGGTTTTTAATTTCCTTTAACACCGATACCAATTTACCATTGTTTTATACATTTTAATTTATATACCAACAATCACAAAAATATTTACCTATATATTATGGATTTTATAACTACGGTCTGAACATTAGAGTGCTAGGGGTGATACAACAAACTACCACAGACTGGGCAACTTAAACCAACAGAAATATATTGTCTCACAATTCTGGAGGCTAGAAGTCCAGAATTAAAATGTCAGTAGGGTTGGTTCCTTCTAAGGCAGTGAGCAAGAATCTGTTCCAGACCTCTCTCCTTGGCTTGAAGATGGCTGTCTTACTGTTCACATGGTGTTCTTACTGTCTGTGTATCTGCCTTCAAATCTCCTCTTCTTTTTTTTTTTTTTTTTTGAGACAGTCTCACTCTGTTGCCCAATCTGGAGTGCAGTGGCGTGATCTCAGCTCGCTGCAACCTCCGCCTCCCATGTTCAAGCCATTCTCCTGCCTCAGCCTCCCACGGAGCTGGGATTACAGGCATCCACCACCACTTCCAGCTAATTTTTTGTATTTTTAGTAGACATGGGGTTTCACAATGGTGGCCAGGCTGGTCTCGAATTCCTGACTTCAAGTGATCTGCCTGCCTCAGCGTCCCAAAGTGCTAGGATTGCAGGTGTGAGCCACCACGCCCTGCCTCCTTTTCTTTTAAGGACACCAGTCATACTGGATTTAGGCTCGCCGTAATGACCCATTTTAACTTGATTACCACTGTGAAGACCATCTCCAAATAAAGTTGCATTCTGAGATACTGAGAGTTGGGACTTCAACATATGAATTTGCAGAGGTAGGGGGACACCCACCATGTCAGTCTGTACAACATTTTAGAAATGCAGCCCAAAGTTATTTATCTTTTCTTTAGAGAATTGTAATTTATAGGACCTTCTGTCAGCAACGTGTTCTCCGTGGGTTCCAAATTGTGTGGGTGTTGTGTGCAGTGTGTCAGCATGAATGTATTTGATAAAGTTTTGATGTGAAGAAGGGGAGGCCTCAGACCTGCAGTTTTCCTGAATTCACTTTTTTCTGTCTACAATGTAGGTGTCAGAATCCCCAGAAGACCTCGGGTGTGCATTGAGACCCCAGAGCGCAGGGACAGTGTATGAAGCCGCCACGGTGGAAGTGGATGTATCTGCTTCCATCACATTGCAAGTGCTGGTCGACACCCCAGGGAACGTTTCCTGTCTCTGGGTCTTTAAGCACAGCTCCCTGAATTGTCAGCCACATTTTGATGTACAAAACAGGTAAGTGGAGGAATACCTTCTTGATATAAAATGTGGTTCATTTGGAATTTTGTTTCAAGTTTCTGTTCATGATTATTGTAAATCTTTTTTTTTTTTTTTTTGAGTCGGGGTCTCTCACTGTCACCCAGGCTGGAGTACAGTGGCACAATCTTGGCTCACTGTAGCCTCGACCTTCCAAGCTCAAGTAATCCCCCCATCCCAGTCCTCCCAAGTAGCTGGGACTACAGGTGCGTGCCACCACACCCAGCTAATTTTTAAAATTTTCTTCTAGACACCATGGTGTTTCACCATGTTGCCAAGGCGGGTCTTGAGCTCCTGGGCTTAAGCAATCCACCCACCTCAGCGTTCGAAAGTACCAGGATTACACGTGTGAGCCGCTGTGCCTGGCCTCAGCCTGTTTTTTGTAACTCTTATCTTCAGTGAAATAACGAGCTAAAAATATAGTTAGGGCATCGATACATGACATTATATATCTGTCAAATTTCCTAGGATGTATAACACAAAAAATGAACCCTAATGCAAACTATGAACTTTATTTTATTTGAGTTTTGAGACGGAATCTCGCTGTCTCACCCAGGCTGGAGTGCAGTGGCCTGATCTTGGCTCACTGAAACTTCCATTTTTCCCAGGTTCAAGTAATTCTCCTGTCTTAACCTCCTGAATAGCGGGGATCACAGGCGCATGCCACTACACCCAGCTAATTTTTGTATTTTTAGTAGAGATGGGGTTTCACCATGTTGGCCGGGCTGGCCTCAAACTCCGGACTTTACATGATCCTCCCACCTCAACCTCCCAAAGTACTGGGATTACAGGCATGAGCCACCATGCCCGGCCCAAACTATGAACTTTAAAATTGTTCATCAATTGTAACAAACATTTCACACCTATGCAAGATGTTAATAATAAGGGAAACTGTGTGTGGAGAGAAGTGCATATATGGCATCTTTCTGTGTCTTCTGCTTAATTTTCCTGTAAGTCTAAAACTGCTCTAAAAAGTAAAGTTGGTTGGGTGCAGTGGCTCACGCCTGTAATCCCAGCACTTTGGGAGGCTGAGGTGGATCACCTGAGGTCAGGAGTTCGAGACCAGCCTGGACAACATGGTGAAACCCTATCTCTACTAAAAATAAAAAAATTAGCCAGGCGTAGTGGTGTGCACCTGTAATCACAGCTACTTGGGAGGCTGAGGCAGGAGAATCGCTTGAAGCCCAGAGGGGTAGGTTCGGTGAGCTGATATCGCGCCACTGCACTCCAACCTGAGAGACAAGAGTGAGACTCTGTCTCAAAAAAAAAAAAAAAAAGAAAAAGAGAAAGGTTAAGTCTATTAAGTTAAACCTATACACACACACACACATATATAAGTATATAGAAAGCAGTGAGTGACTGGCAAAATGTAAAACAAATAGTGAAAAGAATATCTGGGATTTTCCTTTCTTTCTTTTTTTTTTTTTTCTGAGACAGTGTCTTGCTCTGTCACCCAGGTTGGAGTGTAGTGGTGTGATCTTGGCTCACTGCAAGCTGCGCCTCCTGAGTTCATGCCATTCTCCTGCCTCAGCCTCCCGAGTAGCTGGGACTACAGGTGCCTGCCACCATGCCTGACTAATTTTTTGTATTTTTAGTAGAGATGGGATTTCTCTGTGTCAGCCAGGATGGTCTCGATCTCCTGACCTTGTGATCCACCCGCCTTGGCCTCCCAAAGTGCTGGGATTACAGGCGTGAGCCACTGCGCCTGGCCTCCTTTTTTTTTTTTTTTTTTTTTTTTTTAATATTTTTACCTTATTTACGAAGAAGAACTTTTTTTTTTTTTTGAGACGGAGTTCTGCTCTGTCTCCCAGGCTGGAGTGCAGTGGCATGATCTCAGCTCTCTGCAACCTCTGCCTCCCAGGTTCAAGCAATTCTCGTGCCTCAGCCTCCTGAGTAGCTGGGATTACAGGCACCCACTACCATTCCTGGCTAATTTTTTTTTTTTTTGTATTTTTAGTAGAGGCAGGGTTTCATCATGTTGGCCAGTCTGGTCTCAGACTCCTGACCTCAGGTGATCTGATCCACCCGCCTCAGCCTCCCAAAGTGCCGGGATTACAGGCATAAGCCACCTCACCGGGTCTATTTGGGATTTTTTAAATGTCTTGTGTTAAAGATAAAATTTAGAAAGTCTGGCCGGGCGCGGTGGCTCAAGCCTGTAATCCCAGCACTTTGGGAGGCCGAGACGGGCGGATCACGAGGTCAGGAGATCGAGACCATCCTGGATAACACGGTGAAACCCCGTCTCTACTAAGAAATACAAAAAACTAGCCGGGCGAGGTGGCGGGCGCCTGTAGTCCCAGCTGCTCGGGAGGCTGAGGCAGGAGAATGGTGTGAACCCGGGAGGCGGAGCTTGCAGTGAGCTGAGATCCGGCCACTGCACTCCAGCCTGGGCTACAGAGCGAGACTCCGTCTCAAAAAAAAAAAAAAAAAAAAAAAAAAATTTAGAAAGTCTTCATTTCATTCTTGTTAGTGTAGCAAGAAATTTCTTTCTTTTTTTTTTTTTTTTCTTGAGACGGAATCTTGCTCTGTTGCCAGGCCTGGAGTGCAGTGGCATGATCTTGGCTCACTGCAATGTCCTCCTCCTGGGTTCAAGCAGTTCTCCTGCCTCAGCCTCCCGAGTAGCTGGGATTACAGACACCCGCCACCATGCCCAGCTAATTTTTGTATTTTTAATAGAGGCGGGGTTTCACCATGTTGGACAGGATGGTCTCCATGTCTTGACCTCTTGATCTGCCCACCTTGGCCTCCCAAAGTGCTGGGATTACAGGCATGAGCCACTGCACCTGGCCAAGACATTCCTTAAAAAAAAATTTTTTTTAAAGGAAATTTATTTTTGGGAAATGCTTGGGAAAAGAATATTTGATTTTATCTATTTTGTTTCACAATATGATAAGCAGAATTGCAATGTTATGTGCTATCTACAGATTATTTAGTAAGACATTGATCTGTCTGTGAGGAACATTGGTCTCATCCAGAAAAATGTCTTAGCCAAGATGTGTGGGTCATGTCCTAACCCTGTATAGCTCTGTGCTGCTTGCTGCCCCCTGCTGTCCTTGTCCTCTTGCTGAAATGAGATAGGGCAAAGGACATAGGTCAATTAAATGCCCTCTTAACGCAGCCTTTCTTTCAAATTCTTGCGGCTGTCCCGTTGTGCCGCAGGTGTAGAGAAGGCACGCGTTTTCCAGGAACTGTGTAGTGAACAGTACCCAAATGGCCTGCAAGGGGTATCGGGCCCCTTGATAGGGTCTTGGAGAACGTCTCTGTGATCAACTTGTACCAGTTATTTGTATTTTTTTTTAAGGTCAAATACATTCTTAAGTGATTTGCCGGACAGTGAGTATAGTTCTGAAGTTGAGTTCTAAATCTTGGAACACATTCATTTCCTTTCCTCTTTTGAGATTGTATTACTCACTTCTTGTTTTTTGGCTACAAATGTGCTGGGATTACAGGCATGAGCCACTGTGCCAGTCACATTTTCTTCTTTTTATTGGGAAGGCATCTCAATATGTTGCCCAGGTTAGTCTTGAACTCGTGGCCTCAAGCAGTCCTCCTACCTTGCCTCCCAAACTGCTGCGACTGCAGACGTGGTGGCTCACGCCAGGCTAAGGGTTCAGAGAAAAAAAGCATATCATCAAAATAGATCTGCAGAAGCAAATCAAGTATGCATCCTACTAATCGACTGTGTTTATGAATGCAGGCCCATGTACTCTTGAACCTGCTTGCTGCTTTAAAGCAGGACTTCTCAAATATAGCCTGTATTTGGATTGCCTGGAGATCTTGTTTAAAATGCAGATTCTGATGAGTGGGACCTGAGATTCTGCATCTTTGTCAATTCCCAGCTGATGCTAACACTGTTGGAGAAAGACTACACTTTGCACAGTTAAGGGTCTAAAGGTCAGAAAGTGTGAACTTGTTTTATTATTTTATTTTATTTAATTTTTTGAGATGGAGTTTCACTCTTGTTGCCCAGGCTGGAGTGCAATGGCGCGATCTTGGCTCACTGCAACCTCCACCTTCTGGGTTCAAGCAATTCTCCTGCCTCAGCCTCCCGAGTACCTGGGTTTACAGGCATGTGCCACCCCGCCCAGCTAATTTTGTATTTTTAGTAGACAGGGTTTCTCCATGTTGGTCAGGCTGGTCTCGAACTCCCGACCTCAGGTGATCCACCTGCCTACGCCTCCCAAAGTGCTGGGATTACAGGCATGAGCCACCGTGCCTGGCCAGAAATTGTGAATTTAAATACAGCATCACTCAACAAAGTGCTAGGAGGACTGTCAGCTTTAGAGAGGATAGCACCAAATACACATCCTAGTTATCTCTTGGAAGAGAATGCCCCTAACCCAATTTATGTTTACTAATTATCTGAAAAGTTAAAAATACTGACACCGAGACATCTTTCTCTTTACATCTAAGTGATATTCAGTGTAATTATTACTTCATAGGAACATGCCTTTTGTCAGATTTTGCTTGAGTTCTTTCATTTAGACAGAAAGGCACAAACTAGGGGAACTTTTTTTTTTTTTTAACCTCAGTGTTCTGTGAATGGGAAACTGAGACTGAGGCTGGTGACCAGGTGACTGGGCATATGTGATCACAGAGGGTGCTTTGTCATGGAAGGAAATGGTATGCCACTGCTAAAGGGACTGTATCACCAACACTGTGTGTGGGTTTTTATTTATTTATTTATTCGTTTTTTTGAGACAGAGTTTCGCTCTCGTTGCCCAAGCTGGAGTGCAATAGTGCGATCTCAGCTCACTGCAACCTCCGCATCCCAGGTTCAAGCGATTCTCCTGCCTCAGCCTCCTGAGTAGCTGGGATGACAGGTGGGCGCCACCATGCCCAGCTAATTTTTTGTATTTTTAGTAGAAACAGGGTTTCACCATGTTAGCCAGGCTGGTCTTCAACTCCTGACCTTAGGTGATCCACCCATCTCAGCCTTCCAAGGTGCTGGGGTTACAGGCGTGAGCCACTGTACCAGGTAGTTTTTAAAAATATTTTTTAAATAGAGATAGGGTCTCACTATATTGCCCAGGCTGGTCTTGAACTCCTGGGCTCAAGTGATCTGCCAGCCTCGGCCTCCCAAAGTTCTGGGATTACATGTGTGAGCCACTACACCTGGCTTACTGTGCTTTTGTTGTTGTTGTTGTTGTTTCAGTTTTTTTTTTTTTAGACGGAATTTCACTCTTGTTGTCCAGGCTAGAGTGCAGTTGTGCGACCTGAGCTCCTGCAGCCTCCACCTCCTGGATTCAAGCAATTCTCTGGCCTCAGCCTCCTGAGTAGCTGGGATTACAGGCGCCTGCTATCATTCTCGGCTAATATTTGTATTTTTAGTAGAGACGGGGTTTCACCAATGTTGGCCAGGCTGGTCTCAAACTCCTGACCTCAGGTGATCTGCCTGCCTTGGCCTCCCAAAGTTCTGGGATTACAGGTGTGAGCCACCGCACCCAGCCTCCTGTGTGTTTTTAGATGGGAGTTTTCGCTCCTAGAAGCTCAGGGAAGATGAGATGATGGCACCAGAATAGAGCTCTCCCATCCTCAAGGGGAGGACTGGTTAAAAGTCAGAGTCCAACGAGCAATGCCCAGGCTGAGTGCTGGGCACATGACAGAAGCTGTATTCTCCACAGAGCAGCTTCCGTGCCGGGCGGGGAATGCTGGAGTACCAAACTGCCTTTTTAGTCACTATGAAATTTTGTTTTTAGTTTCACACATTTTCCAAAATAACTAGTTCTCTTTCTTGTTTTGCAGAGGAGTTGTTTCCATGGTCATTTTGAAAATGACAGAAACCCAAGCTGGAGAATACCTACTTTTTATTCAGAGTGAAGCTACCAATTACACAATATTGTTTACAGTGAGTATAAGAAGTAAGTCCAGCCTGCTACTAGCATTCCAGTCTGGAATACCACAGTATTTCAAAGGAGTGATTTAGAACCCGTTAGCTTGACCAGCTCCTCTAGACATATTCATGTTTCGCTCGATACATCGTTGGATTGATTAGATTCCCGTCAACCCTCCATAGAACCTATAGAGAACTGAGAATCACTGATGAATCACTGATGTGTGCCATGGACTCTCAGAATGTGACTGCTGCTAAAAACACCTGGGACATCCTCTGTTCAGTAGCAGATGGCTGACAGGGAAGAAATGGGAAACATTTTGACCTTGGAATCAGAAGACCTCGGTTCTGATTCTGGTTCTGATACTACCACCTATGGCAGGTCACAATTTCTCTGAGCCCCAATTCCCTTGTTGGTGAAATGAGGATAAAAATATATACCTCACAGGATTGGAAGGTCTCAGCATGATCCAATAGAACTTTCTAAGATGATGAAAATGATCTTTGTCTGCTCTTTCCAATACAGTAGCCACTGGCCACATGGGGCTGTTGAACACTTGAAATGTGGCTAAGGTGACTGAGGAACTAAAGTTTCCATTTTATTTAGTTTTAATTCATTAAAATTGAAATTTAAATAGCCCCATGCAGCTAGGGGCTACTGTGTTGGACAGCGCAGGCCCACACGCATGCCAGACCATATGCAAGCTGTAAGGAACAGTCCAAATAGTCTTACCAAGGGAGGCAGCTGTGCGGCTGGCAGAGGCACCACCTGCATGTGCTTTCTGGCTTCTCCTTGTTTCGTCCCCATCATGCACAGACTCAGTGCTATGCGCACTGACTTGCTGCTTCACCTTCCATGACCAAGAAGGAGTAAAGGTGGCTGCATTCATTCAGGTCCTCGTGCCTTTAGGGGCCAGTGCAGTGCTCCAAAAACCCTGGGTTAATATCACTTAAAATTAGGTTCCCTCCCACACATTGACACAACTTGCCAGGCTGCCCTCTTCCTTGTCAGTGACTCAAGTGCACAAAGCGTGTGTGTCCGGCCCACAGAGGTGCCCTGGGTCAGGAATAAGCACAACTGCCCTTTGCTGAGGATCTTCTGCCTGTAACATCTCAGATGCTCGCAGCGATCCTGCATGCATGTAGATGAGAAGACAAACCCTCTGAGAGGCGTGGTGGTGGGCACAGCTGGAGGCTTTCTGCACCACACTGCCCTGGGTCTTGTGTGAAAGAAAGTGCGTGGGTCTTGCTGTCAAAGCTACTAACAGAAGAGAGCACTCGAGATTCCCAGAAGTGTCATTTTACTGGGGTTGGGGGTGGGGTAAGGTTCTAAAGTCAGCCTGTAAGGTATACATTAGCTAAAGTCAAAATTACTCAAAATTTGTTCTGGAAAGTCCTTTAATTACTCTGAAAATGATAGGATCAGAGCCCTACAAGCTCCAAAGCCAAGAATTACCTTTCGTTGCTCTTTGGTGTTGGTCTTGTTCCCTGCCCCCTTTCTAGTCCCTCACCGCCTCTGTGGGACAGTCAATACATGCCCCAGGTTGGATGAAGCGAGGACATTTCTTGCTCTCCCTCTCTTCCTCTTTCTCTTTTTCTCTCCTTTTTAAATTTTCTTGCCAACTATAAATAGTTGTATAAGGTAAGTGGGCATCTGCTGTGTCTCTGTTATACTCCGGGTATATTCCTTTCACTTAAGATTTACAGTGTAAAAATGTAACAACAATTATTCAAGCAAATTATAACTTATTTTTAGCATTCTGCAAGGTGGTGGGGTCCAAAAAATAGGTGGGAGAGACGTGGCAACAGTCAGTGTGAAAAAGAGGAAAGGGTTTAGTCAACCACAAGCTCAGTATTAACCACCAGCAGGGCATGGTTGCCAAAAAAAGTAAATTTGAACCTTGGCAGTGTTCATGAAAATATAACATCTAAATTAAGGAAATTAATGGAAGATTATTCATTTCAGTTCTACTTTTTTTTTTTAGATGAATACTGACAAAATGGAGCAACCAGGATAGTGGAAAATTTGGAATTCTTTAAATTAGGAGCAGTTGAAGGAATTGGGAATGTGTAGTGTATAGAAGGAAATATTTTGAAGACACGATAAGGTTGATTGCAGTGTAATACAGAGGAAATTCTTTTAGGATTTGGGTCAGGAAACCTGAGCGAACGAGTTAAAGTACCTTTTATGGTAATTATCTCCCTTGATCTCAGTTTCTGATTTTAAATATTTGAAGGATTTTCATATGGAATCAAAGCTAGACTTTTAAAAAGTTGCTCTAGAGGGTAGGATAAGAACCAGTTGTTAGAAATTACAGGGAGAGATCGAGACCATCCTGGCTAACGCGGTGAAACCCCGTCTCTACTAAAAATACAAAAAATTAGCTGGGCGTGGTGGTGGGCGCCTGTAGTCCCAGCTACTGGGTAGGCTGAGGCAGGAGAATCGCTTGAACCCGGGAGGCGGAGCTTGCAGTGAGGTGAGATCCGGCCACTACACTCTAGCCTGGGCAACAGAGCGAGTCTCCATCTCAAAAAAAAAAAAAAAAAAAAAAGAACTTACAGGGAGAAAAAGTAAAAATCACCACAAGATGGGAAAAGTTACTTGCAGTTCACAATCAACAAAGGATTAATAGTCATAATATGTAAAGTCAATAAGATAAACAATCTATGTAAGTCAATAAGTCAATAAGAAAAACAAAGCAAAATGAAAACCTGTAGAGAAATGAACAAAGGACATGAGTAGGCATTTCATTTTTGGGACATGAAACCTAAATGGTCAAGAAACATGTGAAAAGATAAACTTAGGCACGTTAAAGTTGTAAAGAGTATATTGGAGCAGAAAGCAATTCATGAATCGGGCAGTGCCAGATGGTAAGCAGGTGGGCTCCTGTCAGGGCATTCAAGGGTAAGACTTCTTTCTAGAAGGTGTTCCTGGAGGCAAGACAAAGAAAAGATTTGATTGGTTAAGGAAGGGCAGCCCCTCGTTTGGTCAGTCTGCAGTTCCTCATTGATTAAGCTAAGTGGCATTTTGCTGCTCATAAATGAATTGGGTTTGCTTTTTGCTTGTTGTTGTTGTTTTTGTAGAGACAGGGTTTCAGCATGTTACCTAGGCTGGTCTCCAACTCCTGGGCTTAAGCGATCCTCCCGCCTCACCCTCCCTAAGTGCTGGGATTACAGGCATGAGCCACCGTGCCCGGCCTTTATTCTTTCCCTTTTTTTTTTAAAGTTGGGTTTTGATTTGTTTACATAGGAACTCAAGCTATTAGAGCTGTCTCAGCCTAATGGCCTTCCAAGTAATTATTTTAACACATGTTAAATTAATAATGGATAAATTAAATGAAGACCACAATGAAATACCATTTTATACCTGCTAGATTGTTGAAAATTAAGAAGTCTTGGTACGTATACAAAGCAATAGGTGCTCTCATCTCCTGGTGTGTAACATAAATTAGTATAACCCCTTTGGAAAACAAATGGTCATTATGTGTAAGGCTGAATGTGCTCATACCATGTAGACCAGCAGTTCCCCTCTTAGGTATGTTATTAAGGAAACTGTTATACACAAGCCTCAGTACAAATGTGTGGAACGTTCAGAGCACATGGTTGATCATACAAAAAACTATGGCCGGGTGTGGTGGCTCATACCTCTATTCCAAGCACTTTGGGAGGCTGAGGCAGGAAGATCACTTGAGCCTGGGAGGTTGAGGCTGTAGTGAGCTGAGATTGCACCACTGCACTCTAGCCTGGGTGACAGAGACCCTGTCTCACACACACACACAGAAGGAAACAACCCAAATGTCTACTGCAAGAAAATGAAAAAACAATGATATATATACCAATAGAATATGATGTAGCAGTAAAAAAAAAATGAATAAAGTATAGCTACATGTAAAACCATGGATGAATGTTAAAAACATAAGGTTGGATGAAAAAATGAAGTTGTGGAAGCTGCATATTGATTGATAACACTATTTTGAAGCTCAAGAATGAAATAAATCAATATATCATTTAGCACCACATATTTATGTGGTATAACTACTTTGAAGAGTCCCCGAATAATAAACAAAATTCAGGATAAAGGCCATGTACAGTTGAGAGATGGGGAGAAGCATAAAAGTAGATCAAAAGGTATTTATTAATATTCTAGTTATTAGGTGGATAGTGGCTCCATGGGTATTTGTTGTTATTATGCTTTGAAATTTACACTCCCTATATTCTTTCATATATATATATGAATATATATATATGAAAGAATATATATATATATATATAATATGAAAGAATACGTAATATTTTCAAGCAAAATTTATTGTAAGGAGAGAGGCTGGAATTCAGTAGAGGGAAACTTTCCTTAAAAAAAAAAGCTTGTCAGAAATTAGAATGACCTGCCCTGGAAGGTCATGAACTCCAGTCCCTAGAAGAGTCAAAGTAGAAGTAGAAAGTTTATGTTAGACATAGCTGGGAGTGAAGGATAGTGTGTGTGTGTGTGTGTGTGTGTGAGATGGTCCATGGGAGTGGGAGGCTCAACTAAACCTCTAAGTTCTGTTGCAATTCCAACTCCACCCTACCATGTTTCTTCTGGCTTTCTGAATCTTAGTGTATTTCTGGCTAGTTGCAGATCAAATTATAGGAAGAAAGTTGAGGTCTAAACTCTGCGTTAAACAAGGGTTTAAGCCATATGTTATTGCTAATTTCCTTTTTCCTGTGCCTATCAATATTTGTATTTTCACATGGCTTCACTCGACTACTTTAGTTAGCTGTGGATTTATGAAATACCCAGAGAAATTGGCCAAGAGGGTAAATGTTAAAGTTGACACTGCAGCCAGAGCTAAATTTAATATAGTGGTTGGTTTTCTTTTGATGCCTTTAGTATTAAAAAAAGAAAAAATCTGTGTATGTAATGGTTGGCGGGGCTGCAGAAGACACTGCTATGGTATAAAATATGAACTTTTCTTAATGACATAGAATCCTTTTTTGAGGGGCTGCTAAGATAATTATTTTTAAAATAGTAAAATGTTAATAACTTATGATGCTTTAGATACCCTGCTTTTCACATTAAGAAGACCTTACTTTAGAAAAATGGAAAACCAGGACGCCCTGGTCTGCATATCTGAGAGCGTTCCAGAGCCGATCGTGGAATGGGTGCTTTGCGATTCACAGGGGAAAGGTATGACACATCCGTGGTAGCCGCTATTCTCATAATTTCCTTTTGGCTATTTTCTAATGTAGCTGACATCAAGCTGTATGTAAAATTTAATTTATGCTCATTGAAACAGGAAACTCTGGCTTCTTAAAGTTAAAAAATGACCAGTATAGGGCCGGGTGAAGTGGCTCACGCCTGTAATCCCAGCATTTCGGGAGGCCAAGGTGGGCAGATCACTTGAGGTCAGGAATTTGAGACCAGCCTGGCCAACATGGAGAAACCCCATCTCCACTAAAAAATACAAAAAATTAACCAGGTGTGGTGGCGGACGCCTATAATACCAGCTACTCTGGAGGCTGAGGCAGGAGAATCTCTTGAACCTGGGAGGCAGAGGTTGCAGTGAGCCAAGATCACGCCATTGCACTCCAGCCTGGGCAACCAGAGCAAAACTCCATCTCAAAAAAAAAAAAAAAATTAAATAAATAAAATAAAATAAATAAATAATACAGAATGGCCAGTGTACAGGGAGGACAAGGATTTTTTTGGTAAGGGGCTTTTTGGAGCCCCTGAAATCAACTGCAGGACCCTTCCTGGGCATCATAGTACACAAGTAAAAGTCCCTCTACGTTCCAGGATTGTTGGCTCCCTGGGCATCTGGTTGGGGCAAAAAGAAAGATACTGATTTTAAAGTACAATTCTCTTATAAGTACGAAATTCTAGGCCGGGCACAGTGGCTCACGCCTGTAATCCCAGCACTTTGGGAGGCCGAGGCCGGAGGATCACGAGGTCAGGAGATGGAGACCATCCTGGCTAACACGGTGAAACCCCATCTCTACTAAAAATACCAAAAAAATTAGCCGGGCGTGGTGGCAGGTGCCTGTAGTCCCAGCTACTCAGGAGGCTGAGGCAGGAGAATGGTGTGAACCCGGGAGGCAGAGCTTGCAGTGAGCTGAGATCGCACCACTGCACTCCAGCCTGGGTGACAGAACAAGACTCCGTCTCAAAAAAAAAAAAAAAAGAAAGAAAAAGGAAATTCTAGGTCGGGCACGGTGGCTTAGCCTGTAATCCCAGCACTTTGGGAGGCCAAGGCAGGCAGATCACCTGAGGTTGGGAGTTCGAGACCAGCCTGACCAACATGGTGAAACTCCGTCTTTACTAAAAATACAAAAATTAGCCAGGCGTGGTGGCGGGCATCTGTAATCCCAGCTACTCAAGAGGCTGAGGAAGGAGAATCGCTTGAACCTGGGAGGCGGAGGTTGCAGTGACCCGAGATCATGCCATTGCACTCCAGCCTGGGTGACAGAGCGAGACTCCATCTCAAAAAAAAAAAAAAGAGAGAAATTCCTTGTGACTAAATGTTCAATTTGTGATTGTCCTGTTTGTTCTGGAAAAGCAGTCTAATACGATTGTTTAAAGATATAGAATCTAGAGCCAGATAGCCTGGGTTTGAACCCTAGTTTGTTTAGCAGCTGTGTGGCCTTGGACAAGTTACTTAACCTCTCTGTGCCTCATCAGAAGACTGGGAATGACAACAAGTACTTATAAGATTGCTATGATGAGTAAATGAATTGATATGTGTAAAGCACATAGAACAGTGCCTAGCCGTTAGTAAGTATGGTATAAATGTTTACGTAGTTTTTCATATATGCCAAAGCTAAGTTCTCACAAAGTAAAAATTCATGCAGTTTGAACTAATTAAAATTTACTAAACAACTTTTTTTTTTTTTCTTTTTAAATGGGACCAAATAGAAGGAGAAAAAGTACCAAATACTTTGTTCCAAAGTGGTACAAAAGTTCGCTTTCTGCTGAGGCAGGGAGAGGAGTTTTGTTCTGTTGAATACTTGGGAGTCTTGGCTGATTTCCCTTGCAGGTGACACCTTGGCCCTCCTCTGTTCCTGTGGGAACTTGGGTGACCTTTGAAACTTTAGCTTCCCCATCCCTTACTGCGTCCCCTTCAGTGCTGTGAAGAAAAGGATGCTTACCTTGCTAAACTTCATGAAAGCCCAATCATGCTTTTTCTCTTCTCTCTTTCTTCTCTTTTTTTCCTTGATCTTCTTTCTCATTTTTTTCCTTTCTTTCCCTGTCTTTAAACAACAGCAACAAAGAGATCACCAAACATGAACAATTTTAAACTGTTTTATTATGTAATTCTCCTTAGTGTTATTCTAATCCATTGAGATAATGAGTAACTAGCTAGCTCCCTTATGAGCTCTTAGCTGAAACCATAGATTTGGGCTTGTTTACCTTTTGACCTTTTGCTTACCGTTTGACCCTTAAAAATGGCTCTAGAACTTTGTTCTCCTCTTGAGCATTCATTTGTAATTTTAAAACTTGTTTAACCAAATGGTACTTATTTTCTAATTGCAGTTGTAAAGAAGAAAGTCCAGCAGTTGTTAAAAAGGAGGAGAAAGTGCTTCATGAATTATTTGGGACGGACATAAGGTGCTGTGCCAGAAATGAACTGGGCAGGGAATGCACCAGGCTGTTCACAATAGGTAACTCTATAATATCACGTACTTTCATTTTCAGTGACTATTTCTTAGCAACGATCAGGGACTAACAGTAACTGCATAGGTGATCATTCAACTTCAGAAATCCTGTCGTTCCTTTAGGCCCCAGTAAATGCAATATTATGGATTCTGTAAATGCTGATTTATTCATAAAAGAGAAGAGTCAGTCTCTAAAAGCTTCTTTGATTAATGTGGTTAGTAATATTTGAGATGATGCTAAAGTCTTTGTTCAGAATGTTCAGGATATCCTTTGTGATAAGGCAATAATCACTTTCTTTTTTCTCACTTGGGATGTTTTCATCTCCTAGATCTAAATCAAACTCCTCAGACCACATTGCCACAATTATTTCTTAAAGTGGGGGAACCCTTATGGATAAGGTGCAAAGCTGTTCATGTGAACCATGGATTCGGGCTCACCTGGGAATTAGAAAACAAAGCACTTGAGGAGGTAAAAGGACAAGTTTGTATTCTGAAAATGCAGGAACAATTAACTAACAGTCCGGATTGAAAACATTAAATGCAAACTCTGTTTTATTAAAACCTAGGGCAGCTACTTTGAGATGAGTACCTATTCAACAAACAGAACTATGATACGGATTCTGTTTGCTTTTGTATCATCAGTGGCAAGAAACAACACGGGATACTACACTTGTTCCTCTTCAAAGCATCCCAGTCAATCCGCTTTGGTTACCATCGTAGGTAATGCAGGCTGCTCACACAATCTTTATTCCTATTTTTAGTTGCTTTAGAGTGGAATGTGAGGTATGCGGTACAAATTCGGATTTCAATATAATGCTACTCTCAAACACTAAGAAAGAAACCGAGTTAGAATAGCTTTGCAAAGATAATCTGCTCACCGTCTTCCTTTTCCCGTGAAACCAGGCCCGCTTGAATGCCACTGTGTTTGCACATAACACTTTGTAATATGACCATCTGTTTGTGTGCTTTTATCCCCCGGTAGACTGTAAGTTTCCTAAGGACAAGGACAATTCATTCTATCCTTGTAGTTCCAGAACCTGACACAGAGCCTGACACAAAATAGAATATAAATACTGGTTCTAAGAACCAACTAGCCTCACTGTTAGGGCCGTGAGCACTGAGAGACAGTACAAGCCCTCAGATGCCCTGAAATTTTGGTGGGGTATGTAGGATCCGAAATGGAACACAATTCAATAATCTCAGATTAGGGTACAGCGTTCAGCCATAATGAAAATGCTAAGAAACACAGCGATGCTCTTAGCAGATTAATAAGGAAGTGTTCCATAAGGCAACCTCGTGAATATTGCTAGCCAGATTGCTCTTTTATTTGTGCCTTGAGTTTATTTTTCTCTCTCTCATCAACGAGAGAGAGTGGTGCTGGCTGAGAGCAGGGGCTTCCAGACTCTGTAAGGAGACCCCTAGTGTGTACACGGGAGTGGGGGTTCCTTTCAACCTTTGGAAATTGTCTGCAAAATCTGTAAGTTTATTTATACATTTCTCTGGGAAGACAGTCAATTATCTACATCCCATTCTTTTTGTTTCCTTCTTTCTTTTTTTAAACATTTCTTAACTTCGAAAGATGATGAGCTCAGGCTTAGAACTAGGGATAGGACTCCTGGGTTTTCACTTGGATTATCCAACCTGACCTGCAGCATGCCAACACCTGAGTTTTTCTGTGAAACTGATGAATACAAGTTTATTTTATCTTCTCAGTATGTTTCCATATGAATATTATTAACTAACTCATAAATGCCTATTTTTTCTTACAGAAAAGGGATTTATAAATGCTACCAATTCAAGTGAAGATTATGAAATTGACCAATATGAAGAGTTTTGTTTTTCCGTCAGGTTTAAAGCCTACCCACAAATCAGATGTACATGGACCTTCTCTCGAAAATCATTTCCTTGTGAGCAAAAGGCTCTCGATGACGGATACAGGTGAGACCACAAAGGACTCTTAAGATACCATTTTTAGCATAATTCTCCTTGCTTGTTGCCCTTGAGAAGGACAGTTTTATACTTATGGAAGCAAATTCACTTATTATGAGTTTATTATTGAGTTGAAATTGGAGATGAGAAAACAATAAGCAGATGTGAGGATACAGTAGCAGTCTTACTATTGCTTTAGATAATATAACCTGCTGCATGAAAACAGAAAGAACCGTATTAGTCTGGTCTAGTTTGAGTCTGGTTCTCTGGCATTTTCTGAGTCACAAGGTAGTTACTTCCTGTTTGAGAGTGCGGTGTATAGTACACTGAGTCTCTCCTAAAACATTTGCAGATGATTGAGGAAGTAAAACTCCTTAAAAACAGAAAAACATTACTCATAGGTGTATTGATTTAAATTTTCAGAAAATACATGCAGAAATAGCCCAATAATAAGGGCTGAAGAAAAATGTTTTCCTCAGGATTTGTATGAGAAACTATGCAAGATTCTTTTTTTAGGAAAAACAATTTTTCTTTTCTTTTTCTTTCTTTCTTTTTTTTTTTTTTTTGAGATGAGGTCTCACTCTGTCACCCAGGCTATAGTGCATTGGTGCAATCTTGGCTCACTGCAACCTCCACCTCCCAGGCTCAAGTGATCCTCCCACTTCAGCCTCCCAAATAGCTGGGACCACAGGTGCACACCACCACATCTGACTAATTTTTTCTATTTTTGATAAGACATGGTTTTTCCATGTTGCACAGGCTGGTCTCGGGCTCCTGAGCTCAGATTCACCCTACCTGGGTCTCCCAAAGTGCTGGGATTACAGGCGTGAGCCACCGCACCCAGCCGAAAGCTTGTCTTGTGGGAGGAATTTTCCATTCCTTCTTTGGAAAACAAAAAACAACCTTCCCCTATATCTTCTATAGTTATGACATCTCTTGTTTCTTTAAACTAATGCTATGGAACATGGTTTTGGACTAGAGTATGAGAGACTGAGACGCACATGTTATCTTTCAAACAAGTCAATGGACTAGAATACATCATCCTTTCTCAGCATGTGGTCTGTTGAACAACTAAATAAGAATCATCTGAGCAAATGCTCAAAATGTGGATTCCTGGCTCCCATTCCAGACATGCTGACTCAAAACTGGGGCAAAACGCTCAGACTCTGCTTTTTTAGTGAGAACCTTTGGTGATTCCTATCACAGGTCTAGATCTGTGCTGTCCTGTACAGTAGCCACCAACCACATGTGGATATTGAGAGCTTGAAATGTGTCTGGTCCAAATTGAGATGTACTCTAATTGTAAAATACACACTAGATTTTGAAGACTTAGTATGAAAAAAAGTATGTAAAATATATTACTAATAATTTTTATAATGGCTAGGCTTGGTGGGTCACACCTGTAATCCCCGCACTTTATGAGGCCAGGGCGGGTGGATCGCTTGAGCCTAGGGAGTTGAGACCAGCCTGGGGTAACATGGCAAAATTTCATCTCCACAAAAAATACAAAAATGAGTTGAGTGTGGTGGTGTACACCTTAGTCCCAGCTACTTGGGAGGCTGAGGTTGGAGGATTGATTGAGCTCAGGTGGTTGAGGCTGCAGTAGCCGTGATCACACCACCACACTCCAGCCTGGATGACAGAGCAAAACCCTGCCTCGAAAAGAAAAAATATATATAAAATTAAAACAATTTTTATGTTAATTATGTATTAAAATGATAGTATTTGGGATATATTGCATTCAATGAAATCTATTATTCAACTTAATTTCACCTGCTTCCTTTTACTTTATGCAGCCAACAGAATTTATAAATGATATACAAGGCTTGCAGTCATGACTGACATTGTATTTCATTGGCTAGCACTCTTCCAGTTGAGAGTAGGAGTTCTTTTCACTTTGATTCTGCTACGTGTTTGTTTCATGATTACTGTGGCTACTCTTTATACCTAAAAGGGATTTGTACTAAAAGTCCCTTGTTGGGACTTTTAGAATCTCAGTGCAGGGTTTGCATGGAGTTGTCTGCCGTCTGTTACTGAACCCCCCAATGTTCAGAGCATTCATTTTTAAGGTAATTAAGAATGCAGACTGGTCTGGGAGTTGACTGAAACACACTCCCCCAAACTCAGGGTTTGTCAACAGTGGCACTGCTGACATGTTGAGCTAGATAATTCTTTGTTGTGGGGGACTGTCCTGTGCATTGTAGGATACTTTTCAGCATCCCTGGCCTCCTCTCACTGGATGCCAGGAGCACGTTCCCCTTTCCCAGTGTGACAGTATCTCCAGACACTGCCAAATTGAGAAAAATAACCCCTTGCAACTTTTTTTGAGAACCATTGCCTTAGAGGCATCACCCCACAGTCGTCATAAGCTCTTATTCAGAAACATCAAGCTTTTTTTTTTTTCAGACAGAGTATCACTCTGTCGCCCAGACTGAAGTGCAGTGGCACAATCTTGGCTCACCAAAAGCTCCTGGGTTCAAGCAATTCTCCTGCCTCAGCCTCCTGAGTAGCTGGGATTATAGGTGCACGCCACCATACCCAGCTCATTTTTGTATTTTAAATAGAGACGGGTTTTCTTCATGTTGGCCAGGCTGGTCTTGAACTCCTGACCTCAAGTGATCCAACTGCCTCAGCCTCCCAAAGTGCTGGGATAACAGGCGTGAGCTACCGTCCTTGGCCTATCAAGCTTTTAAATGGAGAAGGTTGGGGATCCAGCCCCTCTCTACCCTAGTGACTTGATTACACTGGCCTGTGTTCAGAAGGAAATCAGCATATCACTGTCCCCTCTCTCCTTTGTATCCTATCCCCATGTTAGATAAGCTCTTAGCGTCATGGGAATCTCTTCTGAACCTAATTCAAAGAGATAAGAGGTCAATTCAATTTAGTTTCAACAAATATGACTTTAAATCCTCTTGATGGTGTGATGCTGTGAAGGGCTGCCAGAGTGAATAAGGGTAATGTTGCTTTCCCTCTCCCCCAGAAGGTACACAGATTGCCACTGTGCTGGTGATACCTGGTATAACCTTTTTGAGATTTTACAGAATCGCCAGTGGGGACCGTGTCACTGACATATGGGTCATGGGCCGTGGGCTACTTCCTGTAGCTTCATTCCGTGGCCACAATCCATACGCATGACCCCAGGTTGTTATCCTATAGAGGTAGCCAAATGAATGAATTAGGGGAGATCCTGACTCCTTATAGCGTTTTGTACCTCACTCATTCCTACTTAATCTGGTAACAGAGTTACCTCCTTGTATGTTGCTCTCACCAGGGAGTTTATAAACCCTAAGAATAGGTGTGCTGCCATATTTCTCTATCTTTGTACAATGCCTTGTTCAGTAAGTGTGTGTTTAATATATGAATGAATTCATCATCATATCTGGAATGCAGCTCACAGTGCAGTCTGGGCCAAAGATGAGTCAACAGCATCCTCTTCACTTCAAGGACCACACATGTGGTTCTTAGCACAACACCCAATACTCAGTGTTTATTGTATTGAAAGTTCTTGAAGAGCTACAGTGTTTGTGCTAATAATGTGCATTGTTGGTAATAATAATGTACCAGGTGTTGTGGGCCATGACGACACACAGCAAAGGAAAAGATGGGCCCTCCTTCTTCATGAAAAAACGTGCTCAAAAATACTGAACAAGAAATGAACGACACAAAATTTGAACACGCCTCTGAGTGCTCTAAATGTCTTTTTCTTCACACCAGGGCTCTATGTTGAGATGGGGATGGCAGACTAGATACAGTCAGGGGTCATTTACACTTTTCTTTTTTTTACTTTTTTTTTTTTTGGACTAAGTCTCACTCTGTCACCCAGGCTGGAGTGCGGTGGGCGTGATCTTGGCTCACTGCAAACCTCTATCTCCCGGGTTCAAGTGATTCTCCTGCCTCAGCCTCCCTAGTAGCTGAGATTACAGGCATGAGCACCCTGCCAGTGAATTTTTTTTGTATTTTTAGTAGAGACAGGGTTTCGCCATGTTGGCCAGGCAGGTCTTGAACTCCTGACCTCAAATGATACGCCCACCTTGGCCTCCCAAAGTGGCTGGGATTACAGGTGTGAACCAACATGCCCAGTCCTTCTTTTTGCTTTTTTTTTTTTTTTGAGATGAGTCTTGCTCTGTCGCCCAGGCTAGAATACAGTGCTCAATCTTGGCTTACTGCAACCTCTGCCTTCCAGGTTTAAGTGATTTCTCCTGCCTCAGCCTCTTGAATAGCTGGGATTACAGGCATGCACTACCCTGCCTGGCTAATTTTGTATTTTGAGTAGAGATGGGGTTTCACCATCTTGCCAGGCTGGTCTTGAACTCCTGACCTGTGATCCACCCGCCTCGGCCTCGCAAAGTGCTGGATTACGGCATGAGCCACCTTGCTGGCTTTTTTTGCTTTTAGAGTCAGGGTCTCGCTCTGTTGCCCAGGTGGATTCTAACTCCTGGGCTCAAAGTGATCTTCCTGCCTTAGCCTCCTGAGTAGCTGCAACTTGGTGTGTGCCACTGCACCCGTCTTTCCTTTTGACTTTTTATTATAGAAAGTTTCAAACTTACTAATAAGTTGAAATAATAGTGCGTGAGCATTCTTTACCTACCACCTAGATTCAACAATTTAATTGAGCCGAATTTGGTTTGTGAAGTACAGTATTTTAGTCATGTATCAAGACTGCATAGGCAAAAGTGATACAACTTTAAAAAAATCTGTAACCGAAAGGGCCCTGTAATAACAGTACCCCTGAAAAAACTTTGGTGTGGTCAATGGTATGTGCACCAGAAATCTCTCGGCTTCCCCACTTTCACGGGCTTCATTTCTCCAATTTACTTCCTCAAATATGACGCCAAAGTTTACTAGGGCTTGCCTTTATATGTTTACATTTTTATTAAATTATAACTTTCTAGCCGTCCTGGTGTCTGGTCCTGATAAAGGTTTCAGGATATTTCACCCATTCGTTTGTATAATTTCGTATCTCTACAGACTTAATTACAAATACCAAATCTACCTTAGCTTTTTCGATT